ACTGGCTTACTCCTGGAGAGGGAGGGCCAGACTGAGATTGCTGCTGGCATACTCCTGGTGCACAGAGAGGGCTGGCCAGGCTGAGTTAGCTACTGGCGTACTCCCAGCGCTTGGAGAGGCCAGGCAAAGCTGAGTTCCCTACTGGCTTACTCCCGGTGCACGGAGAAGGCCTGCCTGGCTGAGTTCGTTACTGGCTTACTCCTAGAGCAGAGAGGGTGGACAGCTAACGCACGGCTGGCTTTCTTATTCGGGAGGAAAACAAAATCACCCTATTGCTCTGATAGACAGCCCCAGTCAGGGAGAGGCCAGACTTTCAGGCAGTGGGCAGAGATTTCTCAGAGGTGTGTGAAGCCAGAGGCCATTACTGTGAGACTTGGGGAGGAGCCGAAGATAAAACAAAGCTTGTCTGCACCAACCTGAGACTCCACCCCATCCAAGCTGAGCACAGAAGCTCTCCAAGAGGCTGGCTTTCTCTAAGGAGGGACCGGCCAGAATCCAAAGCTTGTCTGCACCTTTACCAAAGAGGTGCGCGCGCCTGCAACCAATCTTCCGAAACTCACCCCGAACAGGACTTTTCTAAGGCAAGACTGACAGGGAACCAAAGATTGTCTGAGCCACCCCAAGATCCCACCCCATCCAAGCGGAGTACAGAAGCCCTCCTAGCTGAGACACTGCTGATCCTCACAGACAGTTGGCTTAGAGATCAATGCTTCCCAGTGATACCAACACAAGCAAGACTTAACAACAAGACTACACACACAGCCCACAAAGGGCTACACCAAGACTGTACACCTCAGGTAACTGAGAAGGCTGTGCTACTGAGCTCTACCAGAACACCTAGCACACAAAACTATTCCATCAAATCAGGGAAACAACTAAAATGCAGACAAGAGCCAGGACACAAAGGAAGTAGATGGAGGAAAAGAAAAGATTGGACATTGAGTTCAAAACTACAGTTATAAGGTTATTCAAGAATATCCTTAAAAAGGCCGATAAAATAAAAGAGACCTATGAGGATTTGAAAAGGGATCAACTAAAAATAATAAGGGATCAACTAGAAATTAAGGAAACATTGTATGAAATAAAAAATATTACACAGAATCCTAAAAACAGACTGGAAGATCGCAAGAATCAAGACAAAGATTTAGAACACAAAGACCCAGAGGACACTCCTCCACAGAAGCAAGACGATAAGAGAATCCAGAAAGTTGAAGTTAGCGTAAGAAACCTCTGGGACAATTTCAAGCAAACCAACATCAGAATTATGGGAGTCCCAGAAGAGAGAGAGCAAGATACTGAAAACATACTGAAAGAAATAGTGACAGAAAACTTCCCCACCTGGGGAAAGAAATAGACTTACAAGTCCAGGAAGCCTGCAGAACCCCAAACAAAAGGAACCCAAAGAGGACCACACTAAGACACATCATAATTAAAATTCCAAGAGCAAAAGACAAAGAGAGAATATTAAAAGCAACAAGAGAAAAGCAGGTAGTTACCTACAAAGGAGCACCCATACGATTGTCAGCTGATTTCTCAACAGAAACTATGCAGGCCAGACAGGAATGGCAAGAAATATTCAAGGTGATGTATAGCAAGAACCTACAGCCAAAAATACTCTACCCAGCAAAGCTATCACTCAGAATCAAAGGCCAGATAAAGAGCTTCACAAATAAAAAAAAGCTAAAGGAGTTCATCACCACCAAACCAGAATTATATAAATTGCTGAAGGGGGTTATTTAGGAAGAGGAAGAAGATAAAGATAAAAATTATGAAGGACAAATACATAACTATCAACAAGAGAATCTAAAAACCAAGGGAATTAAAAAATCTGATGAACAATATTAACTGTTGAATATAATAGAATCAGAGGTATGGAAGGGGAGTGGACTGACGATTCTTGGGGGAAAGGAGGAGTGGGTGTGTGGGAAGAGACTGAACAAAAACTGTGCACCTATGGATGAGGACAATGGGGGATGGGGAAAGGACAGAGGGTGGGGTGGGAACCTGGTGGAGGGGAGCAATTGAGCAATTGAACACATTTGTAATAATCTGAATAATAAAGGTTTATTTAAAAAAAGAAGAAGAAGGAAAAGAAAAGAAAGAAAGAAAAAAACAAGCAAAAAAATAAAATAAAATAAACAGATCATTATGCTAAGCAAAATAAGCCAATCAGAGAAAAAGAAATATCACGTGATCTCACTCATTTGTGGAATATAATGAACACCATAAACTGATGAACAAAAATAGAACCAGAGTCACAGAAGCATCATACAACTTTCCAACTATGAAGGAAGGCAGGGGTAAGAAATGAACCAAAGGACTTATATGCGTACATAGGAGCATAAGCACAGGACAAAGACAGTAAGGGGCTGAGAGCATTTGCCTGGGTTTGAGAATAGCAAAGGAGAAATCAATGTGGGGAAAAAGAAGACTTATGTAATTCTTTAAACAATCAGTAATTTAAAAAATAAAAAATATAAAATATCCCCATGCAGTTTCTAAAATACTAAATTTCCTTTATCATTCTATTTTCTATTTTTAATATTTGTATTGATTTCAGGAAGATGGAGAAAGTAAAGGAAACATCACAAATAAGAGAGAATCATTGATTGCCCCCCACCAGGGATCCAGCCCACAACCCCAGGCATGTGCCAAACCAGGAATGGAACCTTGACCTCCTGGTTCATAGTTCAAACACAACCCCAGAGATATACCGGGCATGCTCCTTAATCACTTTAATGGGCAGTTTATATCATTAACATTTACAGAACTCACAATAAAAATATTTCTACTCAAATAAAATCTACATAACAGCAGACTTTATAACCACTCAAGACCATAGCTCTGCTTACATCACTAAAACATCTCCTTGTCTGACCAACAGGTGGCAAACCAATCCTGAGGTCTAGCTATTTTTCCTGATAATCAATAGGGATGAATCCACTCTTTGCACTCTAACCAATTCCCCACCACCCAACTCCCACCCACACCCATACCCCAGGGCTGACTGCTTCAGCTGTTTGGGTGAAGCAGGATCAGGGGGGGCCCATGCAGAAGCTGAGTCCCACTGGGCACCCTGTGCTGGGCTCTCTTCCCTGTCCTCAGGAGGAGAGCAGGAGACTGAGGGGCAAGGATGCTGGGGGCTTCTACTGGGAGGAAAAGAGGAAAAACCCATTTACTAAGCTCTTACTCTATGCCAGCCCCACCACCAAGCCTTAAACATGCACCATCTCCTTGGATCTTACAAGCATCCACTAAGCTGGGTGAGCACCATGTCCTCATTTGACAGGGGAATTAAGGTTCTTGCCTGAGGTCCCTCCACCCAACAGCACCTCCCCTTAACTCAGAGTCTGCACTCGAGTGCCCTTTGATTAGGGTCCCTGTGAGGGGTAAATTTTATGTGTCAACTTGACCTGAGGTCATCCAACTTTTGGACCTCATGGACCACCAGTTGGGAACCACTGAACTTGATGGTGCTAAGGGTAGACCAAGTAGTTGGTAAAGCCATTCTGGGTGAGAATGGAACAGGGATCCAGCCCACAAGGGTTAGCTTTTGATTCAGCATTCCAGTAAGGAGATCTTACAGTGCAGCTGGGCTTCCTCCAATCTCTTGGGGGCCCAAGAAGATTAGAAAGAGGAAGGAAGGATGAATTCTCTCTTCTTTGGTTTTAGCTGATGGTGAACATAAACATAGACTCTCCATTGTCAGGGCATCAAACTCCTGGGTGTGCACCAGCTGCCCTTTATTCTCAGGCCTATGGACTCACAGTGGGGATTAAGCCATGGGCTCCCCTAGTCCTCAGGCCTTTGGACTTGGCCTCAGTTATACCATTGGCTTTGTAGGTTCTCCAGCTTACAAAGGGCAGGCATTGGGACTGAAGGCTGGAGCCTATCCCTGTAAATCTCCTACCTGTGTCCATGTGTCCCTGTTGGCTCTCCCGGGGAACACTACTTAATACAGTGACTGAGCACAGGGAAGAAGCTCACTCATTTGTGCAGGGTGTCTGCTCCCCTTCCTGACAGGCTGGTTTCAAAAAATGCTCTCTAGTCTAGCTCCGTAGAGAGGCAGTAGGTGTAATGGGAATAGGCCAATCCCCCATGGATATGGCCTGCCCCCCTCACCGGGTTCTTTTTTATGTGGTGTACAAATCCACAGAAAAAAGTATTATGCCCCTGAATAGCTATAGTATTTTGCTCAAAGGAATTTGGACAATTTTCCTGACTATAAGCAGGTGACTTCCTCTGCACCAGGCTGACAGTCATGAGCTGGATGGCCCACGGCTCAGTGCCTCTGCGTGTGGATGAGCCCTTCTGGAACTGGGGGTCATGCCTTGTCCCTGGATCCCTGCTGGCACAAGTCCTGGATGTGTGGGTCACCTGAGGAACTGTAGGGAACACTGGCATCCAGCGTCAGAGCCAGCAGAGAGGTCCCCTTCACTTCAGGGGTTGGTGGGCCACCTAGCAAGTCCCATTGTGTCCACCCACTGAGCAGCCACAAGGAGGTCAGACATGCCCAGAGAGAAGAGAAGCCTGGAGGGAGTGTAACATAGTGCTGAGCAATGCAGCTGAACCACATCCCAGCAGTTCCAGGTTCTGACCCTGAGCTCTCCCCACAGGGTCCTGAGGTGTGAAGTGGAGAGACAGGAGAACACAAGCAAGAGGACCAGAAGGTTGCCTTTGAAATTGTCTTTATTTCTGATCATTCCTTTACAATCACCCCAGGATTGACTCCCACACAAGAAGCTCAAGCCCCAATTCTGCCCCCTCCTCACGCAAATGAGATTCATGTTTCTGATAGTAGGACACTTAGCCTTTGAGGTCCCATGAACTCCCATTTTTGACCCTGCACCCCTTTACCCAGGCTGTGTCCCTCCATTTCTCCATTCACACTGAGCATGAACCTGAAACATGGGGTGGCCCCTGTATAGTGCCCCCAGGTCCGAGGTTTCACCTTCCAAAGGCCCAGAGAGAAGCTCAGGTGCACCCACTGAGCAGAGTCATTACAGGGGCAAAGAACAGGCTCCCTGGCATGAAAATGCCACATCATAATATTCCCTGTGGCCACTGTGCTTGGTGACAAGCAGGATGGACCTGGGCTGTCCTAACTCCTTCAGTATTCCCATCAGCTCAGCTTGGATCTTGTCAAGTCTCTCCTGGTTGACAGTGCCCTGGATCGTGTAACACTCCAGGGGGGCGGGGTACAGCTCCAGCTCTAAGCTGCGCAGCCCGGCTGTGTGACGCAGCAGCTTCCCCACGGTGGCCAAGGACAGGCGGTTCTCAGAGATGGTGAAGAAACTGAGCTGGTGACAGCGGCTCAGGACAGGCAGGATGGCCTCAACTTGGGAGTCCACCAACTTACACTTATCGAGGCGCAGCTCCTGGAGGGTGGGTGTCAATGCTTCCAGCAGAGCTCGGAGGGGCACTGGAATAATACCATCGAGGCTGGCACAATACAGACGCAGGGATTTCAGTTGCCTGAGGTGCGGGCACTGGAACAGATGTGTCAGGTCTGAATGGGTCAGGCACTGGCAATGCGTTATGGTGAATTTTTCCAAGGGGGTCTGCAGGCACCTGTGGAGACACAGAGCGGTTAGTTCCTGGGAACGGAGTGGCAGGTAGAGGGGGCCTCCATGAGAGAGAAGACCGATTTGTCCAAGGCCAGGGTTGTCCTGACAATCTGATATGGGAAGCCCAGACTACTTTTAGGCTGGGTCAAGGTCACTTTTCCAGATCTTTCTTTCCTTAGCTATCAAGCAGAGCACTGCACTCTGGAGGGTGTCTGGACAGAAGGGAAACCATGGGAACCTGCTCAGAGAGCCTGACAGCATCTAGGTCCGTGGTCTCCAAACTGCAGCTCGAGAGCCACATGCACTTTTTTGGCCCCTTGAGTGTGGCTGTTCCACAAAATACCACGGTCTGGGCTAACCTGTTTTACAGAAGTGGCATTAGAAGAAGTTGAAGTTTAAGAAAATTAGCTCTCAAAAGAAATTTGGCTCCGTTGACTAATGAGTTTGCAGACCACTGGTCTAGGTCACAGGTGGGCATCCCTGCACCTTAAGATTGGGAGACAAAACCAAGAGTGCTGTCAACTCAGATTTCCTTCTGTCCACTGCTTGGCTCCACACACTAGACATCTGAGCCACATGAGGCTCATTCATCTAACTCAGAGGGAACACCCTGGCCCTAGTTGGTTTGAATCAGTGGATAGCACTTTCCCTTTTGGACCCAAGAGTCTCACATGTAATTCATGGACAAGGGCACAGAAATCATTTGCTGGCTCAATGCCCGATACAGGTTGGGGCATGTGCTGAGGGCAACCAATCTTCTCTCTCTCACTATGTATTTCTCTCCCACTCTCTTCCCTTCCATTCCACTCTCTAAAAAGCAATGGTAAAATATATACTCCTTTTGAGGATAAAAAAAAAAAAGGAGAGAGTAAATCAGAGGGAGATTCTTGTACATCAAACTGGGAAGGCCAGTGTTTAGAGGCGACTTCCATCCATACATCCCCACAAACCACTGGTCACTCTGCAATCTTGTCCACTCCAGCTTCTTAGCTGCAGAACCGTGCCTGTCCTTTCTATTAATGACCTTCCTGGTACCCAGGACCACCTCTGACAGATGACGAATCTGAGACAGGCTCACGTGTGTTCACGGGGCTCGTGGGTACAGAGCTTATGTCTCAAATGCTCCATCTGATGTGGCTTTGCCTCCTCCCAATCTTCTTTCTAAAGCCTCATCACTTGGACATCTCTCCCCAAGGCAGAATACACACACCCAGGCTGGCTGGGTCCCTCATTGAGCGAGTTCTGTTACCCACCCTGACAGGCTGATTTCAAAACATGCTTCCTTTGGGTGCTCATGGGAACTCTCAAAGCATCTAACAATACCACTCCCTTCACATTCTAGGGCTGTAACCACTGTTACACATCTCACCTGAGCATCTGATCTAGACGGCCTCGGAGGAAGGAGGGGGAATCCAGGTCCAGCTCTCGGAGGTGCAGTGGGCTGAGCATCTGAGAGATGATCTGGGAAAAGGATATCTGCTCTTCTTGCTCCTCCCTCTCCCACTCCTCTTCCTCCTCCCACTCCTGCTCCTCTTCCTCCTCCCACTCCTGCTCCTCTTCCGCCTCCCACTCCTGCTCCTCTTCCGCCTCCCACTCCTGCTCCTCTTCCTCCTCCCATTCCTGCTCCTCTACCTCCACCAACTCTTGCTCCTCCCACTCTTGGACATCTTCCTCCTGTTCTTCCACCTCTTCCTCCTCACCCAATATATGGATGTGGGAGAGAAAGAGTCTCTGCAGATTCCTCATCTGCTCCAGGTAAAGAGCAAACAACTCCAGGGTGGGCAGGTCCCAGGTGCACTTCAGTTCCACCTCCTGGATACAGTCCACCTGTACCACATCCAGGACCTGCCACACCCTGTGGAAGGGCACCTCAGCAATACTCAGCGTCTTGCAGCACAGGTGTACCAGCCCTTTCCTCTGCTGGGCCCATTGGATGACATACATGAAAAATGCATCTCTGTTCCTTTCAGTGAAGTTCAGGTCTAGGAACACCTCCACGGGAGTTAAGGGGTGCTCCATGTTGGGGCTGGACCTGTGCTCAGTCACTGGAAAAATCGATGAGTACTTCTCGGTGCTGTTTCCACACCATATTTTCCAGAAGTCGGAATCCATGTACCTTAAATCCAGCACCCGCAGTTTGCACCTCCTGTGGGGAAAGCAGGACATTAGCCAAGATTCTTTCAGGTCAACATGCATTGGCTGACATGCTGTATGGACAGTGTGTCTCAGTGGTTGAGCATCTACCTATGAACCAGGAGGTCACAGTTCAATCCCTGGTCAGGATACATACCTGGATTGCATGCTCCATGCTTAGGGTGTGGTGTGTGTGTGTGTGTGTGTGTGTGTGTGTGTGTGTGTGTAGGAGGCTGCTGATCAATAATTCTCTCTCATCATTGAGGCTTCTATCTCTATCTCTCCCCTTCTCTCTGAAATCAAGAAAAAAAATGGTATTTTAAAAAGATCAACAGGGAGAAACTAAGATGGTGGCATAGGGTAGACACCCGAATGCAGAACCTACAGCCAAAAATACTCTACCCACCAAAGCTATCACTCAGAATCGAAGGTCAGATAAAGAGCTTCACTATTAAAAAAAAAAAAAAAAAAAAAAAGCTAAAGGAGTTCATCAAGCCAAACCAGAATTATATGAATTGCTGACAGGGGTTATTTAGGAAGAGGAAGATGATAAAGATAAAAATTATGAATAACCAATACGTAACTATCAACAAGTGAAACTAAAAACCAAGGGAATTAAAAAATCTGATGAACAATATTAACTGGTGAATATAATAGAATCAGAGGTATGGAAGGGGAGTGGACTGACGATTCTCAGGGAAAAGGAGAGTGGGCGTGTGCAAAGAGACTGAACAAAAACTGTGCACCTATGGATGAGGACAATGTGGGGTGGGGAAAGGGCAGAGGGTGGGGTGGGAACCTGGTGGAGGGGAGCAATTGAGGGGAGGGGGAGAGAGGAACACATTTGTAATAATCTGAACAATAAAGATTTATTTAAAAAAAAAAAAAAGATCAACGGAACCAGGGCAGGCCAGAATGAGAATGAGCATCTGAGTTGAGGCAACAACTAGACTCTACCCCCACCCTGACCTTCACTTTGATTCTCAAGGTCAGTGTCTTCCTTGGATCCTGCTATGCTCATCTCCTCCCATCCCTTCTGCTCTGCACTTCCTGTATCTTTAACTACCACTGGGAGGAGGCAGGGCACAGTTTGGAGGTGCCTCTGCCCAGTAGGCAGTGCTGCACTCCCCAGTGAGCTCAGCAGGGTGCCAGGGCTCCCTGAGCCTCACTGGCACCTTCAGAAAACTCGGGTCCCCCTAAGGTCCTCCACACACCCTGACTTCCTTTGTCTCAGGGATGGCCAGGACCCTACCAGGCACCGGGAGCAGCCTTACCTGGGGCGAACCTCCTGGGCAAGCACAACGTCAAGCCCATCCAACAAGGCTTTTAAGATCTTAACCCGAGGTCGATGCTTCAATCCCCCCACAGGGAGGACAGCGAAGGGCCAGGCTTGTGTGATCGCCTTCAGGGTCTTGTAGCGTCTACTAAAGTAGGCCAAGATGAACAGCAGCGGGAAGAGTTCAGCGGGCAGGTACTCCAGAGCTGTGATGGCCGAGGCCTGGTCCTTCAGCAGGCTCTCTGCTGCCAGCTGCAGGAGTGTGGGTGGGGTCCTGATGCTCATCCTCAAGGTGCTCCAAAGGAATCCTGTGGGAAAATTCAGGGAACAAGACATCCTCATCAGGCCAAGCCTTTGAGCCCCATCCTCTGACTCCCCATTTTCACAGGAATCAACTCAGGGCTGAAGGCACTGCCTGGCAATGGTGAGAGCCTCTGTTTAGAGAGTCCCATTCTGGGCTAGGTGACCACAGAGCCATAGCTCCCCTGCAGGCCCCAGGACAAGCATCTCAGAAGCATCCATGTTTTTCATTCCAGTCTGCCTGGGAAGTGGGTACTGAAGGGCCTGAAAGCTGACCCCCACCTTTTTGGGGGGGAAAGTTTCAGAACAATCTAGAGAAACAAAGTTAATATTTAAAATTTCTAGAAATGAAACCACAGTTAAGATGTTTTCAATAGAGGTTGGGGGCAGAGGGACATCAGGGAATCGGCTTGGTTACACATTTATAAATAGACCAAAGCACAAATGTTTGAAATTCAGGCAAAACTACACTTAGAGGCAAAATCAATGCATTCAATCTGTTTGTCTGTTAAAAAAAACAAACAAAAGAAGAAAACAAGAAAATCTCTCTGTGCCAACGTGAGGCCAGCTTCCTTAGCTGAGGCCCATAATTTACCTGATGTGATCAGGTTGACTGGGGCTCAGATCTCAGACCTGGTGAGACCCACTTCACTGCCTGCAGAGAGAAAGGATTTTGAATGACTCCTCTGGTGTCTAAGGATTTTAGACACCTTCTCAAAGGCTAACATCTAATCAGAACCCTCAGTCTCCTAATGCAATTATTGCCTCTCTTCAGATTAATGAATTGAAAGTTAAGGAGGGGCAAGGTGAAAGCCTGGATCATTGATCCCTTCCATATACACTGAGGTAGAATGATGGCCCATAATTGTCATCCTTTATGTGAGACAGTGAAGGTGTCATGGGTTCCTGATGTTAAATAGGAAAGAGGAAACCCAGAGAGCATGGCTGCTGGGGGTCTTTGGCCACATCAGAGTTATCAGAACATTGCAGAGTTAAAACATCCTGGAGAAGACACTGGTGCCATCCCCAAGGGAACTAAGGAAATGTGTTCAGGCATCAAGTTTGGTGTTATGGCAGGTGACATAGCAGATCATGAGCTCCTCAGGGAGCAAGTGGTGGGCGACTGAGGTTGTGGCTGTCCTAGACCCCAAGGCTTCTCTTAAGGAGGTGAGGTCAGGAGCAGCATGAGAGGCAGGAGTCAGGGCTGGGCAGGGTGGCACTGAGCGTTCCTAATGGGACCCTGTGAATGACCCAGGGCCATGGAAAAGATGGGGGTTTTCTTGGAAAGAAGGGAGATGGAAGGAATCATCTCTGGCTGAATTCTGGATTCAAAAGGAGACAAGTTGGAGGGGAGACAGTGTCATCCTTGAGGGCAAAGGGAGAGATTCCATCTTCTGTCCTGCCCAGGAGGAAAAGGGTGGGTCCGCTCTGGGGAAGATGGGATTAGCTCAGCAAAATGGGTGGAGAAGCTTAAATCTAAGAATGGGAGCAGAGAAAAAAGGGGCCAGCCCTGGAAGTTTGACATTTTCAACCCAAAGGGCATTGAGGGTGGATGCTGTGGGGTCTTTGGGCTCTTGGAACCAGAGACAGAAATAAACCTGGGCCTATAGCATGTAACCCTGTCAACATGGCAGCTGCCACCAGGCGATGTTTATCAAAGGGAAGAGGTTCTTTCACGGAAGATCAAGTTTTTCAAATTCTTCACCAAGAGCATCCTAGGTCACATGCTCCCAGGTAGCAGCAGTCTATGCTTCAAGCATCCATTTCCCCCACCCAGGAGGCGATACTCATTCCATTTTCACCGGGTTCTGGGATTCCGCCTGCAACGTGGCTGAAGGCAGGCCCAGGCACTGCCTTCCATGTATTCAGGGCCTCAGAGGGATCACCTCAGAGTTAAAGCCACTGCATGGCAATGGGGACAGTCTCGGTTTAGTAAGACCCTTTCTGGGCTCCGTGGCCTCAGAGCCATAGCTCCCCTGCAGGCCCCAGGACAAGCATCTCCAAAGCCCCCACATCTCTCATTCCAGTCTGACTACGAAGTGGGTACTCAGGGGCCTAAATGCTGATCCCCAACTTATTGGGCAGAAAAGTTTCAGACCAATCTAGGAACACATACTAAAATTTAAACTGTCCAGCCAAAAATGGTTTGGCTCAGTGGATACAGGGTCGGCCTGCAGACTGAAAGGTCCCAGGTTCAGTTCCAGTCAAGGACATGTACCTTAGTTTCAGCCACATCCCTAGTAGGCGGTGTGCAGGAGGCAGCTAATCGATGTTTCTCTCTCATCAATGTTTCTCACTCTCTATCCCTCTCTCTTCCTGTCTGAAAAAAATCAATAAAATATATATTTTTAATAAAATAAATATTTATTTTTTTTTATATATTTTATTGATTTTGTACAGAGAGGAAGGGAGAGAGATAGAAAGCCAGAAACATCGATGAGAGAGAGTCATCGATCAGCTGCCTCTTGCACACCCCCTACTGGGGATATGCCCGCAACCAAGGTACATGCCCTTGACCGGAATCGAACCCAGGGCCCTTCAGTCCCCAAGCCGACGCTCTATCCATTGAGCCAAACCGGTCTCGGCTAAATATTTATTTTTAAAAATATATATATTTTATTGATTTTTTACAGAGAGGAAGGGAGATGGAGAGCTAGAAACATCAATGAGAAACATCAACCAGCTGCCTCTTGCACACCCCCTACTGGGGATGTGCCAGCAACAATGTACATGCCCTTGACCGGAATCGAACCTGGGACCTTTCAGTCCGCAGACTGACGCTCTACCACTGAGCCAAACCGGTTTCAGCAATAAAATAAATATTTAAACTGTCCAAAACTAAAAACCCCAATAGTTAACAGTTAAGATGTTTTCACTGGGAAGGCAAGGTGGGAGGGGTTGGGGTCAGGGAATCAGCTTGTTTAGATATTTAAAAAATAAACTCTAGCCCCGATGCAAATGGTTGGAATTCAGGAAAAGCTACACTTAGAGGCAAAATCAAAGCCGTCAACCTGTTAGTCTCTAAAGGATGATAAAAGCCCTAACTGGTTTGCCTCGGTGGAGACCGGTTCAGCCAATGGATTGAAGGGTCCTGGGTTTTATTTTGGTCAAAGGCACATGCTTGAGTTTTGTTCTCTATCCCCAGTAGAGGGCTTGAGGAGGCAGCTGACCAATTATTGTCGCTCATTGATACTGTTTCCATCTCCCTCCAGCTTCCTCTCTGAAATCAATAAAATACATTGGAAGGAAGAAAGGAAGGAAGGAAGGAAGGAAGGAAGGAAGGAAGGAAGGAAGGAAGGAAGGAAGGAAGGAAGGAAGGAAGGAAGGAAGGGTATTAAAAGCTCTTGGTGCCAGTTCAGGTTTCATGCCACCATGAAGCTGACTCCTTAGCTGAGGTTGGTACCTTACCTGCTGTGACGGGGTTGGCTGGAGCTCAGATCTCAGACCTGGTAGAGAGCCAGGGCACTGACTGCAGAGCTGAAGGACTCTGACTCTCTCCTCTGGTGCCTGACGTTTTTAGACACCTTCTCAAAGACTAACATCCAATCAGAACCCTTAGTCTCTATCCCTTAATCCTAACAGGATATTGCCTCTCTCCAGATTAATTGACCAAACCAGAAATCGGTTTTAGAAAAGAGAAAGTTAGGGAGGGGCAAGGTGGAGGCCTGGTTCATTGATTCCTTCCACTGACACTGACTGAGGTTGACTGAAGGCCCATAGTTGTCATCCTCCATGTGAGACATTTAAGGGTGTAATGGGTTCTTGCCATTAGACAGAATAAAAACACAACCTGAGAGCATGGTTGCTGGGAGTTTGGGGCCACAACAAAGTAATCCAGATGCATCCTCAGTTAAGTTAGCCGAGAAGGCAATGGTGGCATCCCCAGGACAAAAGAAAAGTGTCCATGCATCTAGTTGTCACTCAGGTTTTCTGTCAGGGGACATAGCAGATTATGAGCTCCACAGGGAGCGAGGAGTGGGTGATTGAGGATGTGGCTTCTCTCTGCGAGGTCACAAGGCTTCAGACCACAGGGTTTCTCTGAGAAAGGCCAGGTCATGACAAGCAGGGGTCAGGGCTGAGCAGGGTGGCACTGGGACATCCTAATGGGACCATGGAAAAGATGGGGATTATTCTTGGAAAGAAGGGAGATGGAAGGACTCTTCTCTGGTTGGATTCAGGGTCTAAAAGAGCCATGCTCGAGGGGAGAAGTGCCATCCTAGAGGGCAAAGGGAGAGGATTCTATACTCCGCCTCGCCCAGGAGGAAAAGGGAGGGTCTGCTCTGGGGAAGATGGAATTAGCTCTGAAATCTGGGTGGGGAAGATTAAATGTAAGACTATGATTAGTGGGAAAGTGACCCAATCAAGGAGTTAGACATTTTCTTTTTCTTTTTTAAAAAAAAATATATTTTATTGATTTTTTTTTTTACAGAGAGGAAGGGAGAGAGATAGAGATAGAAACGTCGATGAGAGAGAGACATTGACCAGCTGCCTCCTGCACACCCCCTACCAGGGATGTGCCCACAACCAAGGTACATGCCCTTGACCGGAATCGAACTCGGGACCTTTCAGTCCGCAGACCGACGCTCTACCACTGAGCCAAACCGGTTTCGGCGACTTAGACATTTTTCTGTTTGAACCAGGGACAGAAATAATCGTTGGCCAATAGCAGGTAATCCCGTCATGGCATGTGCCACCAGACAACATTTATCTTAGGGTTGGGGTTCTTCCACAGAGAACTCTTCCCAGATAGCAAGTGCTGTCCCTCATTACACCATGTCTCCAGGGCCCCATTCCTGCCCTTGTGGCACCCCTTCACCCTTGTCCTGGAAAAGGGCAGCACAAACCCAGGCTGCCTCCACTAGGCAGGTGGGGGTGAGGGGGTAAGAAATGAACCAAAGGACTTATAGGAGCATAGCACAGGACAAAGACAGTAAGGGGCTGAGGGCATTTGCCTGGGGATGAGATTGGCAAAGGAGAAATCAATGTGGGAAAAAGAAGACTTATGTAATACTTTAAACAATCAATAATTTAAAAAATAAAAAATATGAAATGTCCCCATGCAGTTTCTAAAATACTAAATTTCCTTTATCATTCTATTTTGTATTTTTAATATTTGTATTGATTTCAGGAAGATGGAGAAAGTAAAGGAAACATCACAAATAAGAGAGAATCATTGATTGCCCCCCACCAGGGATCCAGCCCACAACCCCAGGCATATGCCAAACCAGGAATGGAACCTTGACCTCCTGGTTCATGGTTCAAACTCAACTCCAGAGATATACCATGCTCCTTAATCACTTTAATGGGCAGTTTATATCATTAACATTTACAGAACTCACAATAAAAATATTTCTACTCAAATAATAAAATCTACATAACAGCAGATTTTATAACCACTCAACACCATAGCTCTGATGCAATAGAGCTGTGGTGTTGAGTGGTTATAAAATCACATCATCTGTGATTTTATAATCACATCACCTGATCTGACCAGCAGGTGGCAAACCAATCCTGAGGCATGGCTGTTTTTTCTGATAATCACCAGAGATGAATCCACTCTTTGCACTCTAACCCCCCCACCACCACCCAACTCCCACCCACACCCCCACCGCAGGGCTGACTGCTTCAGCTGTTTGGGTGAAGCAGGATCAGGGGGGCCCCATGCAGAAGCTGAGTCCCACTGGGCGCCCCGTGCTGGGCTCTCTTCCCTGGAGAGCATGAGACTGAGGGGGAAGATGCTGGGGGCTTCTGCTGGGAGGGAAAAGAGGAAAAACCCATTTACTGAGCTCTTACTCTATGCCAGGCCCACTGCCAAGCCCTCAACATGCACCGTCTTCTTGGATCTTACAAGCATCCACTAAGCTGGGTGAGCACCATGTCCTCATCTGACAGGGGAACTGAGGTTCTTGCCAGAAGTCCCTCCACCCACCAGCACCCCTCCTCAGTGTGAGTCTTCATTCGGGTGCCCTTTGATTAGGGTCCCTGTGATGGGTGAATTTTATGTGTCAACTTGACTTGAGGTCGCCAACTTTTGGACCTCATGGATCACCAGTTGGCGACCACTGAACTTGATGGCGCTAAAGGTTGACCAAGTAGCTGGTAAAGGCATTCTGGGTGGGAATGGACCAGGTTAGCTTTGATTCAGTGCACGAGTAAGATCTTACAGTGCAGCTGGGCTTCCTCCAATCTCTTGGGGGCCCAAGAGGAATAGAAAGAAAAAGGAAGGAAGGATTCTCTCTTCTTTGGTTTTAACTGATGGTGAACATAGGTTCCTGGTTGTCAGGGCATCAAACTCCTGGGTGTGCACCAGCTGCCCTTTATTCTCAGGCCTATGGGCTCAGACTGGGGGTTCTGCCATGGGCTCCCCTGGTTCTCAGGTCTTCAAACTTGGCCTGAGCTATTGCATTGGCTTTGTAGGTTCTCCAGCTTACAGAGGTCAGGCATTGGGACTGAAGACTGGAGCCTATCCCTGTAAATCTACCTGTGTCCATGTGTCCCTGTTGGCTCTTCCGGGGAACACTACCTAATATAGCGACTGAGCACAGGCAAGAAGCTCACTCATTTGTGCAGGGTGTCTGCTCCCCTTCCTGACAGGCTGGTTTCAGAACATGCTCTCTAGTCTAGCTCCATAGAGAGGCAGGAGGTGTAATGGGCATAAGCCAACCCCCCATGGATATGACCTGCCCCACCCCTCTCGCTGGGGTCTTTTTTATGTGGTGTACAAATCCTCAGAAAAAGTGTTATGTCCCTGAATAACTATAATATTTGCTCAAAGGAATTTCAATGGTTTTGCTGGCCATAAGCAGGTTACTTCCTCTGCACCTGGAGGAACCCCTCTATCAGATGCCCTCAGTGTGAGTCTTCATTCGGGTGCTCTTTGGCTGGGAAGCCCTTCTGGGCTTCTGCTCAGGGCCTCTGCAGTGTGATAAGCCCTTTTGGAACTGGGGGTCCTGTCTTGTCCCTGATCCTGTCCTGGCACAAGTCCTGGGACATGTGGGTCCCCCTGAGGAACCATAGGGAACACTGACATCCAGCGTCAGAGCCAGCAGAGAGGTGCCCTTCACTTCAGGGGTTGGTGGGCCACATAGCAAGTCCCATTGTATCCACCCACTGAGCAGCCACAAGGAGGTCAGACATGCCCAGAGAGAAGAGAAGGCCTGGAGGGAGGGATAACATGGTGCTGAGCCCTGCAGCCGAACCGCATCCCAGCAGTTCCAGGTTCTGATCCTGAGCCCTCCCCACCTTTTTTTTTTTTCCTCTCCATCAGTAACTGCAGGGTCCTGAGGTTTAAAGTGGGAAGACAGGTGAGTACATGAGGGAAGACCAGATGGTAAACTTTGAAATTGATTTCTGATCATTCCTTTCCCACCATCCACCCCAGGATTCACTCCCACACCTGCACCTCGGCCACAAAACTCCTCCCCCCTCCACAAGCAAATCCAATTCATGTCTCTGATTCTAGGACCTTGCCCTCTGAGGTCCCATGAACTCCCCAACAGTTGACCTTATCATTGCAGACCCACGCTGGGTCTCTTCCTTTCCCCATTCACAGTGAGCATGAACCTGAAATGTGGGTGTTCCCTGCATAATGCACCCCGGTTCTAGATTAGAGCTTCCAAGGGCCCAGAACAAAGCTTTTGCTGAGGGTTCCCACTGAGCAGAGTCATTACCGGGCAGAGCTCAGCTGTAAGTCATGAAAACTCCACGTCATAAATTTTACTGATGTCACACATAATTACAGTACTTGTTGACAAGAAAGAAAGTCCTGTTCTGTCCTAACTCTCTCAGGATCCCCGTCAGCTCAGCCTGGACCAGGGCCAGTCTCCCTTGGTTGACAGTCCCCCACTGGGTCATGTAACACTCCAGGGGGACGGGGTACAGCTCCAGCTCTAAATTGCAGAGCCCAGCTGTGTGGCGCACCAGCTCCCCCACCATGGCCGCGGAGAGGTTGTTCTTAGAGATGGTGAACTTCCTGAGCTGGTGGCAGCGGCTCAGGACAGGCAGGATGGCCTCAACTTGGGAGTCCACCATGGCACAGTTATCCAGGCGCAGCTCCTGGAGGCTGGGTGCCACTGCCTCCAGCAGAGCTCGGAGGGGCTCAGGACTAAAATCAGCGAGGCTAGCAGAATACAGACACAGGGACTTCAGCTGCCTGAGGTTCGGGCACTGGAACAGGTGTGTCAGGTCTGAATGTGACAGCTGCCAGCAATTTGTTATGGAGAGTTTGTCCAAGAGGGTCTGCAGGCACCTGGAGAGAGACAGAGCAGTTAGTTCCTGAGGATGGGGCATCTGGTAGAGGGGTTCCTCCAGGGGCAGAAGATGGATTTGTCCAAGCCCAGGGTTGTCCTGACAATCTCATGAAGGGAAACACCCAGGACGCCCAGTCTCCTTTTAGGCTGGGTCAAGTTCACCACATCTTCAGAGCTTTTGTTCCTCAGCTGCCAAGCACAGTTCAGCACTCTGGAGGGTGCCTGGACCGTATAGAAAACCCTGGGAACATGCTGAGAGTGCCTGACCATGTCCAGCCCTGCACCTTATGATTGGGAGACAAAACCAAGAGTGCTTTCAACCCAGGCTTCCTTCTGACCACTGCTTGTCTGTAGGCACTGGACATCTGGGCCATATGAGGCTCGCTCATGTAAGACATAAAGAACAAACATGGCACTAAGTGGAATGACTCAGTAGATAGAATGTTGGCCTTTGGATTGACATGTCTGAGCTTTGGTTATCACTCAAGCACATGCTCCTCATTTGCAGGCTAAATCCCTGGCCCTGATTGGGGCATGAAGAGAGGGCAACCAATCCATGGGTCACTCTCACATAGATGTTTCTCTCTCTCTCTTCTCCTTCCTTCCACTCTCTAAAAATCAATGGGGAAAAATATTTTCAGGTAAGGATTTAAGAGAGCCATAGAGCAGACCTGGGCAAGATCCTGCGACAACATCTGGGAAGGCCAGTCTGCAGAGGTGACTTCCACTCCTACATCACTGCAGCCACCTCTCACTCTGCAATCCTTTCCACTGCCGCTCTTTTGCTGTGGAATCATGCCTTTTTTTCTTCTGACTTCCTGGGTGGTACCCAGGGCCACCTCTGACAGCTGGGGAATCTGAGACAGGCTCACATGTATTCACATGGCTGGTGGGCACAGAGCTTATGTCTGGAAATATTCCATCCGATGTGGCTTCTCCTCCTTGCTCCCCTCTTCCTAAGGCCTCATCACTTAGACATCTGTCCCGAAGGAAGAAGTCACACACCCAGGTTCGCTGGGTCCCTCATTGAGCCAGTTCTGTTACCCATCCTGACAGGCAGATTTTGAAACATGTTCCTTTAGGTGCTCACAGGATGCCACCCTCCAAAGCACCTAATAAGATCATTCTCTTCACATTCAGGGACTGTGTCCACTGTTACACAGCTCACCTGAGCATCTGGTCCAGACGGCCTTGGAGGAAGGAGGGGGAATCCATGTTGAGCTCCCTGAGGTGCTGCAGCCTGAGCATCTGAGAGAGGAATTGGGAAAAGGATTGCTGCTCCTCCTCCTGCAGGTCCTTGTCCCACTCATCGTCCTCCCACTCCTCTTCTTCCTGCTCCTCTTCCTCCTCCTCCTCCTCCTCCACCTCCTCATTCAACATGTGGATGTGGGAGAGAGAGAGTCTCTGCAGGTTCCTCATCTGCCCCAGGTAAAGAGCAAACGTCCCCAGGGTGGGCAGGTACCAGGTGCACTTCAGTTCCACCTCCTGGATGCAGTCCAGCTGCACCGCATCCAGGACCTTCCTCACCCTGTAGAAGGGCACCGCAGCAATCCTCAGCGTCTTGCAGCACAGGTGTAGCAGCCCTTCCCAATGCTGGGCCCATTGGATGACGTACATGAGAAACTCTTCCCTGTTCCCTTCCTTAAAGTTAAGGTCTAGGAACACCTCCACGGGAGCTAAGGGGTGCTCCATGTTGGGGCTGGACCTGTGCACAGTCACTGGTCCTGTTGGTGAGCGCTCCTGGGTGCTGTCTCCACACCACATTCTCCAGAAGTCTGCACCCAGGTTCCTTAATTCCAGCACCCGCAGTTTGCATCTCCTGTGGGGAAAGCGGGCCATTATTGGAGATTCCCTCAGGTCAGCAGGGCATTGGCTTTATGGACAGTGTTTTCAGTAGTTGAGCATCTCACTATGAACCAGAAGGTCATGATTTGCCTCCCAATCAGGACATATTCCTGGCTTATAGGAGGAATGCCCAGTGTGGAGGGGAGCTTTGGAGGGAGGCAGCTGATCAATGATTCACTCTCATCATTGGTGTTTCTATCTCTATCTCTCCCTTCCTCTCTGAAATCAATTAAAAACTATTAAAAAGAAAAAGAAAGAAAGAAAGAAAGAAAGAAAGAAAGAAAGAAAGAAAGAAAGAAAGAAAGAAAGAAAGAAAGAAAGAAAGAATTGAAAAGAATGAGGCCGAAACCGGTTTTGCTCAGTGGATAGAGCGTCAGCATGCGAACTGAAGGGTCCCGGGTTCGATTCAGGTTAAGTGCGTGTACCTTGGTTGTGGACACATCCCCAGTAGGGGACGTGCAAGAGGCAGCTGATCGATGACTCTCATTGATGTTTCTAACTATCTCTCTCCCTTCCTCTCTGTAAAAAATCAATAACATATATATATATTAATTGAAAAAAAAATAAATAAAAAGGACAGAATGAGGGCAGGGAAGAATGAGACTGAGCATATGAGTTGAGGCAACTATCAGACTCCACCCCAACCATGAGCTTCTACTTTGAACCCCAAGGTCAGCTTCTCCCTTACCTTCCTCTCCCTTCTGCTTTGCTCTGCTCATCTCCATCCACCCCTCCTGGTCTGCACTTCTCGTACCTGTGACTACCACTGGGAAGAGGCAAGGAACGTTTTGCAGGTGCCCAGTAGGCAGTTCTTCACTCCCCACTGAGCTCAGCAGTATGCCAGGGCTCCCTACCCTCACTGGCACCTTCAGAAAACTCGGGTCCCCCTTAGGCCCTCCACATGTCCTGCTGCCCGTTGTCTCCAGGATGGCCAGGACCCTACTAGGCACCTGGAGCAGCCATACCTGGGGCGAACCTCCTGGGCAAGCAGAAGGTCAAGCCCATCCAACACGGCTTTGAAGACCTCGTCCAGTGACAGGTCTGGCAGGCCGCCCAGAGGGAGGACAGTGAAGGGCCAGGCTTGTGCCATCGCCTTCAGGACCTGGAGACGTCTACCACGGTAGGCCAGGATGAACAGCTGCGGGAAGAGCTCGGCGGGCAGGTACTCCAGAGCTGAGATGGCCGAGGCCTGGTCCCTCAGCAGGCTCTCTGCTGCCAGCTGCAGGAGTGTGGGTGGGGTCTTGATGCTCATCCTCAAGGTGCTCCAAAGGAATCCTGTGGAAAAGTCCAGGGAACAAGACATCCTCATCAGGCCAAGCCTTTGAGCCCCATCTTCTGACTCCCCATTTTCACAGGAATCAACTAGGGCCAAAGCCACTGCCTGACAATGGTGAGAGCCTCTGTTTAGAGAGTCCCATTCCGGGCTAGGTGACCACAGAGCCATAGCTCCCCTGCAGGCCCCAGGACAAGCATCTCAGAAGCACCCACATATCTCATTCCAGTCTGCCTGGGAAGTGGGTACAAAGGGCCTGAAAGCTGACCCCCACTTTTTTGGGGGGAAATTTTCAGACCACGCTAGAGACTCAAACTGAATATTTAAAATTCCTAGGAATAGCCGGGACTGGTTTGGCTCAATGGATAGAGCATCAGCTTGGGGACTGAAGGGTCCCGGGTTCGATTCCAGTCAAGGGCATGTACCTTGGTTGTGGGCATATCCCCAGTAGGGGGTGTGCAAGAGGCAGCTGATCGATGACTCTCTCTCATCGATGTTTGTGGCTCTCTATCTCTCTCCCTTCCTCTCTGTACAAAAAAAATCAATAAAATATATTTTTTAAAAAATAATAAAATTCCTAGGAATAAGCCGGGACTGGTTTGGCTCAATGGATAGAGCGTCAGCTTGGGGACTGAAGGGTCCCGGGTTCGATTCCGGTCAAGGGCATGTGCCTTGGTTGTGCGCACATCCCAAGTAGGGGGTGTGCAGGAGGCAGTTGATCAATGTTTCTCTCACATCAATGTTTCTAACTCTCAATCTATCTCCCTTCCTCTCTGTAAAAAATCAATAAAATATATTTTTTTTAAACGGGGGGGAGGTGGCGGGGAGAGAGACACTCTGTTCCATGTCAGGCTTCCTGCCACCATGAGGCTGGCTGCCTTACCTGAGGGCGGTAACTTACCTGCTGTGACCAGGTTGTCTGGGGCTCAGATCTCAAACTTGGTGAGAACCACTTCACTACTGCAGAGATGGAGGATTCTGAATGTCTCCTCTGGTGCCTGGTGTTTAGACATTTTCTCAAAGGCTAACATCCAATCAGAACCCTCAGTTTCCAACCTTTAATCCATTTAATAGGATTATTGCCTCTTCAGATGAATGGATTGAGAGAAAGTTAGGGAGGGCAGGGTGGAGGCCTGGCTCATTGATCCCTTCCACAGACAATGACTGAGGTTGACTGATGCCCATAGTTGTCATCCTGGGTGTGAGACAGTGAAGGTATCATGGGTTCCTGATGTTTAATAGGAAAGAGCAAAACCGGAGAGCATGGTTGCTGGGGGTCTTTGGCCACATCAATGGTATCAGAACATTGCACAGTTAAAACATCCTGGAGAAGACACTGGTGCCATCCACAGGAGAACTAAGGAAATGTGTCCAGGCATCAAGTTCTGTTTCATGACATAGCAGATAATGAGCTCCTCAGGGAGCAAGTGGTGGGCAACTGAGGTTGTGGCTGTCCTAGACCCCAAGGCTTCTCTGAGGGAGGTGAGGTCAGGAGCAGCATGAGAGGCAGGGGTCAGGGCTGGGCAGGGTGGCACTGGGCCATCCTAATGGGAACCTGTGAATGACCCAAGGCCATGGAAAAGATGGGGGATTTTTCTTGGAAAGAAGAGAGATGGAAAGACTCTTCTCTGGGTGAATTCAGGATCTAAAAGGAGACAATCTGGAGGGGAGACAGTGCCATTCTAGAGGGCAAAGGGAGAGATTCCATCTTCTGTCCCGCCCAGGAGGAAAAGGGTTGGTCTGCTCTGGGGAAGGTGGGATTAGCTCAGCTAACTGGGTGCAGAAGCTTAAATCTAAGAATGGGAGCAGAGAGAGCATGGGAAGCCCTGCACGTTAGACATTTCCAAGCCCAAAGGAATGCTGTGGGCTCTTTGGGGTCTTGGAGCCAGGGACACAAATAAATGGAGGCCAATAGAATGTAACCCTGTCAACATCATGGCAGCTGCCACCAGGCTACGTTTATCAAAGGGAAGAGGTTCCTCTCCAGAGAATCCGTCGTGGATACCAAATGCCTTCCTGGACTACACTGTGTCTCTGTTGGCCCCATTCCTGCCCTCATGGCATCACTTCACTTCACCACACCCCCAATGATCTCCCTTATGACCGCCAGCCCCTAAATCTGTCACTTCAGTAACCCTGACCCCAATATCGCTCTGTTCTGTATTGTCTGACATCCGTGTGGTGTGCAGAACCAGAGGCACTGTGAGGCCAGGCAGCAATCATGGGTCCTTAGACATCCGCAAATGAATAGGTGGCCCTTGGCGGTGTGAGGAAGGCCAGCTGTGGCCAGCCCATTGCTGCCACGTGGAGTTCCTGGCCTGCAAAGCTTTCCTCCAGGCCCCCATCCTTCTCCTGTCAGTCACTCACCACACAGACTCCCCTGAGCACCCAGTGTGTGTGCCACGACCTGACTCTGGGGAACTCTGAGTCACATGGAGAAGACAGCGCCACTGAACAGACTCTGAGTGAGGACAGGAGGCACCGGAGTGAGTGCTGAGGCCTGTGGCTGAGCTCTCCTGGGAATGGGCAGCACAACCCAGGCTGCCTCCGCTGGGAACCATGGAATTTGTCTGCAGTTAAAACACCTGCAGCCACACACCTGCGGGCCCATGAGCCAAGGGCACAGTAGACCCAGATGTGCCCAGAGGGACCTGAGCTGGGCTTCTGCTGGCCTTCCCCGGAAGGGAGAGGCAGTTTTTTGGGGGGTTTGTTTTGTTTTTAAACATTGTACAAGTATACATTTTAATACATGGAGGTGGAATAACACATATGTGTTGTTTTTAAAATATATATATTTTTATTGACTTCAGAGAAGAAGAGGGAGAGAGAGAGATAGAAACATCCAGGATGAGAGAGAAGCATGGATCGGCTGCCTCCTGCTAGTCCCCCACTGGGTTTTGAGCTCTCAGCCCTGGCATGAACCCTTGACCAGAATGGAACATAGGGCCTTTCAGTTCTCAGGCCGACGTTCTATCCACGGAGGCAAACTGGCTAGGGCGGGAGAGGCAGTTTTGCAGAAAAGCCCAGCGGGCATGCCCAGGGCACCCTACTTGGGTACAAATCCCAACCCAGAGACTTACTCCCAGTGTGACCTCGGGCCAGTCATTCCCGAGGCCTGTTCCTCCTCTGTGAGCAGGCGTGACGGTTAGAGCCCGCCTGGGGCGCCTGTGGGGGATGGTGGTGCCAACAGTGGAGATCTTCCCAGGGAGGCCGTGTCCTGGCTCTCAGTCCCCCACAGCTCAGTTTATTTTCTCTTCCTTTTTTCCTTTTCTTGCTAGAATGTGACCAAACTATAAGAAAAAAAAATGTTCAAAGCATAGTTCTATTCATTTTCCTACAAAGCAGAAGAAACAACAGTGATTAGCTGTTTGCTTGTTTTAGTGGCAGAGCCTGTGAGGCGGGGCGCTGCTGGCAGGTTCTGGAGGAGGAGAGGCTCGAGCTGACTCCCCTCTGAGGCTGGGGGAGCCGATGCAGGTCAGCAGCCTCTGAGTCAGAGGGGAGAAGCTGAGCTCGGGGGAGAGTATGGGTCTTAGGCATCAGAAGGGGTTGGGGTCTAAATCTAACTGTGCCCTGACTGGTGTGGCTCAGTTGGTTGAGTGTTGGTCCATGTCCTGGGAGGTAGCTGGTTCAATACCCATCCTGGTGCATGCCTGGGTTGTGGGCTCTATCCCCAGTAGGGTGTGTGTTCAAAATTTCTCTCTCTTCCATGTTTCTCTCTCTCCCCAATCTCTTTCTCTCTCTGAAATATATATTTAAAAAATAAATCTTGGATCACATGATCTCACGCATCTAGGGGAAATAATGAACAACATAAACTGATGAACAAAAACAGACCTGGAGACAGGAAAGCATCAATCAGACTGTCAAACCTCAGAGGCAAGGTAAGGGAAGATGGGGGTAAGAGGGAGAGATCAACCCAAGATTTGTGTGCATGCATATAAACCTAACCAGTGGTTATGGACAATAGGAGGGTGGGGGAATACATGGGGAGGGGTTTGGGATGGGAATGGGGGGTTGAGGACAATTTTGTGACACCATAATCAATAAAGAAATTAAAATAAATAAATCTAACTGAAGGTAACCTCATAGGGTGATCTGATCATAAATTTCTAACCAGGCAGGTGGTGGTGGGTAGTCACACCCAAAGCCGATAGCAATTTCCTCTCTCCACTGTTTTTGTAGATCTAGCTGAACTCCCCTTTGAAATGCCTCTTTTTCAGACCCCTCTAGAGAGGACAAGATCTGGTTAAGTATCTTGTAATCCAGTTAGAAATCTACTTAGGTCGCAGCTTTCTCCCACCTCCCTGTAACCTCCCCTACGTTCCCTCCTTAGATCTAAAAGCAGAACAGAAACTGGGAAGCATTTTTCTCAGCCTGAGGCGATCTTGCTTCCGGAAGTGTCCTCTGTTTGACACAAATAAACTCTTACAGAAACTCCTATTCACGTTGTCTGCTGGGCTGCACATTTTTTTCATTGACCGGAAGCAGCTGGATGGAGGCTCAAACTGGAGCAGGAGAGTGTCTGTCCTGGGGGTGGCAGGGTAGGGGTTCCTTGGGGAGTTCCCAGCAGACAATGGCTCATTCTTCCAGCCCAGGATTATAAGCACCAACTCTATCCCGACAGTAGAGAATGCAAACCATTGGGGTGGAGACGGAGGCAGAGAAAGGCCATTCCCAGGAAGGCTCTCCACGCCCAATCCCCACACTCAGAGGAAGCACATCAGGGACCTGCTGTCCTCAACCCAAGGTGGACGCCATATGGGTGATGGAGGTGTCTCAGGAGACTCCCCGTTCATGCGTGCAGGAAGGGGGCCTGTAATCCATCTCCAGCAGAGTCAGCTCTTAATGGAAGCGGCTACTGAATTCCCCTGGGCCGACAGAACGTAGGGAGGAGGGAAGAGGACGTAAGAGCAGAGAACTGTGGACGTGGCCAGCTTCACAGTGGAAACCCCCAAGGTGCCCGCCTCAGCTACACAGGG